CCAGTGCTGGGAATGGGTTTGATTTTGAGTTCCAGTGCTGGGAATTGGCTTGATTTCGTGTTCCAGTACTGGAAATTGCCTTGATTTTGTTTTCCAGTGCTGGAAATGGGTTTGATTTTGTGTTCCAGTGCTGGGAATGGGTTTGATTTTGTTTTCCAGTGCTGGAAATTGCCTTGATTTTGTTTTCCAGTGCTGGAAATGGGTTTGATTTTGTGTTCCAGTGCTGGAAATTGCCTTGATTTTGTTTTCCAGTGCTGGAAATGGGTTTGATTTTGTGTTCCAGTGCTGGACTGTTGTTCCTTGGGTGAGGGGATGGGTTGTGTGCTTTAAAACACGAGTGCTTCTGAATTCTAAAAGCAGCTTTTTTCCTCAAAACCGCCAAACAAACATCGAATTGTATTAAAAAGTCAGTTGGCACCTGGGGTCTTGGCATTAAGGGTGAGAAAAGGCCAAGCTCTAAGTAATTCTTGCCTTATACTTCTAATCGCCCAGACTGGAAAAGATCTTTAAGATCACTGAGTCCAAGCAATATGTCTGTTTATAAAGGGGCGACAGGAAAGCTGGAGAGGGGCTTTTTATGAGGGTATGTGGTGACAGGATGAGGTTTTAAACTAGAGCAGGGTGGATTTAGATGAGGTATTAGGAAGAATTTCTTCACTATAAGGGAGGTGGGAGGCTGGAACAGGTTGCCCAGAGAAGTTCCTCAGCCCTGGCAGTGCCCAGGGCCAGGCTGGACAGGGCTTGGAGCGACCTGCTCTGGCGGGAGGGGTCCCTGCCCAGGGCAATGGGCTTGGAAGGAGATTATCTTTAAGGTCACTTCCAACTCAAGCCATTCTGTCATTAATCTGACAAGCCCTCAACTAAACCCCATCCCTGAGCGTTCTGTCTGCCTGACTCTTAAATCCCTCCAGGGACTGGGACTCCACCACTGTCCTGGGCAACCCATTCCAACGCCTGAGAATTCTTTCAGCAAAGAAGTTCTTCCTCATGTCCAGTCTAATCCTCCCCAGGTGCCACTCGAGGTCGTTCCCTCTCATCTTTGCACAAAGTTCGTGAAGCATCTTTGTTGCTGTTCGAGTTAGCTCAGTCGAAGCCTTGCCACAGAGCTGGTCAGCGCAGGCTTCCTTTGTACCTGCCTCCGGTGGTAAATTGTGCTCTGAAATGCGTGTTTCTGTGACTCTTAATATAAACCTTCTGTAGTTATTCCACAGATTTCGAAGTACATAGGAATTGGCTCGCCATCACTCACAACTTGCCCCTCTCTCAGTGGTACTATGAGGTAAGTACGCGTTTAGGGGTTTTAGCTGTAAATTACTGGCATATTGGCTGCGTCGGCCCGTGCGAGGGCCAGAGGAGAAAGGCTTTGATTTGCAGAAAGTACGTCATGGGTAGCGATAGCTGGCAGCTGTACAGCAGTGGTTCAGGAACGTGCCAGTCACGATTTCTTAGCCCCATGTGGCATTTAGTTAAAAAATCGTAAATGTTTGGGGCAGCTGCTGGTACTTAACGCAGGTGAAATGGAAAAGATGAGGCAGATGGGTCATGAGAAAGGCTGTGTAACACCAGAGCTGGCTGCGTGCTAGTCTGAAATTTCTGCACTCCTCACTCTTGACATTGATGGTGTATGGTTATCACAGTAAAGAATGAATCGTATGGGTATGTATGTTACAAAATCAATTAGTTTATTAAGGTTTTGAGCCTCTGCTGGTGCACCACTAGCATGCATTGATTCTAATCCAGATGAATCACATTTATGCTGACGACAGACTCGGCCTACACAGTCGGGTTTCGATCGACCTCACAATATCTCCGAGAGTTCTGGGGTAAATCTCAGTCTCTCATACTCCTCCCCGTCAGTGCCTGGGAGCTGGGTATCCAGGAATAAATGATTTATGTGGCTCAGAACTTTTGAAAGGCTGATCCAATACTGTAAAACAAATTTCTGTGATGCCAGCATAACCCTGGGGCCAAAGCCTGGGACGCCTTTCAGCAGCGTGACGTTTGGGAGCCGGCACGCCAGCAAGCACATCCCATCCCAATCCTCCTTCCTCCTCTCCTATTCCCACAGCCAAGGAGTTAATTGTTGGTCAGGGCTTAATAACAGTCCCTAAGGAAAAAGATCAAATAATACTATTTGGCCTTGATAAGGTCTTATTAGAATTAAGACTTGTTGAGTAATAAGTCAAAAATAATTTTGAGACTGTAACAAGGCTACTTGTGCTGGTAATTATTTTAATGGAGACAGATATTCACTGTGAGCTATTTTTTTGAGACTTTTAAACTATGGGCCCTCCTGTAAGCTGATTTATAAAGAACAGACACTTATATAACAGTTAGGTGCAAATACACAAATTGTTGTTCAATCTCTTTCTACCAATCAAGAGGTGTCCCCGTCCCTCTACCAGTACCAGAGAAGAGCAGCTCCAATCTCATTCGGTGACATGCAGCCGGCTCTTTTATTGTGAAATAGTTTATGTTAAATAGAAGGTACTGAAAGAAAATACCTCAGCTGCTTTGCTCTGAGGAGCTGTACCTGCAGGACTGTAAATGATGCGTTAAACTCTTTAATCTTGTCTTCAGGCAACTTCGGAATGGACTCTGGATTATCCACCGTTTTTTGCGTGGTTTGAATATGCGCTTTCGCACGTTGCCAAGTACTTTGACCCCGAGATGTTGGTTATCGAAAATCTAAATTACACCAGTCGGGCGACCATCTTCTTCCAAAGATTTTCTGTCATCTTTACAGACATCGTTTTCATCTATGCAGTTCGTGAGTAAGTCTTGATGTTCTTATTTTAGGGACAGCGGGTAGCCATTAACAACAAATAATTATTTGTACAAATAAGCTTGTAAATGCGTGGAAGTGCCAAAGTTGCTTTAAGCTATTTAAGGAGAAAATTGGAACATGCTCGCAAACGCCGGGTAACGTTTTGCTGCTCTCAGAGCTGTGGTTGCCCTACGTGTGGTTGATTTGTACCCTCTCAGATGTCAGCTGCTGTTTCATGTGTTGCGGGTGGTTTGTTGCTCTCGCTGGGTTCGTTCTGTAGGAGTTGCAGGACAGGTAGTGTGCATCCAGCTGGGTTTCCCTGTTCCTTTCCTTAGTCCTCTCTTCATCTGGAGTAGATGGATATGAAGGGTACTTGTGACAGAAAGGAAACTTGACAAAATGCCAGTATCGCCAGATATGCTAAGGCACTCCATCGGGTTTGATGTTCTCAATGATAAACTGATTATTCCAAGTCTAATTTAACAATATTAAGGTGATTTGTTTTGAGTGGGCCTTGACTTTGTGAAGAAGTGTTTATCTTGCACCTAAAGAGTTGAGGGAGAGAGATGTTTTGAGAAATATGTTGCCTACCTTAAAGATCTGGCTCTAACAGTTTTCCCTTACTGTATTCTGTCTGCTCAAAACCTGGGTAGAAGGTTCCCTGTTGCACTGGAGCCCTACCTAAACTTTATTTACTCTCTTGTTTGAAACAGGCTGGCTTTGCATTGTGACTTTTCCCCCTTTTTTCAGCTCGGATGCGTGAATGAGCTGGGTTTCTTGAAATGGCTCGACTAACACCAGCTCCACGCAAATCACCTGCAGCTTTTTAATCTGTTCTATCCCTGCCTTCAAAAATAACGTGAACCGGCTGGCTTCACACTGAGAAGTAATAAGATATATTTTAAACCTTTTCTTTTTGTTCAACTTTATTTATGACACTGCCTTGATGAATTTAGCAAGAATTTTATCCTTACCTTCCATCCTAGTCCTATCAAAACGTAATTATTATCCTAATAAATCAGGTAACTTCAGGGTAAGGGCACTTCTCAACTCTGTGGGCTGTTTCAGTTAAAACGTTTGTTTCTTCTGCTTTTTTTCAGGTGCTGCAGGTGGGTAAATGGGAAACGAGCTGCAAAGGATATCCTGGAAAAACCAACCTTTATTCTCGCCGTCCTGCTCCTGTGGAATTTTGGGTTGTTAATTGTGGATCGTATCCTTTCGAACTGTTGTGGGCTAATTGTTTTGTTTGGCGGGTATCATTGTTGCTGTCACAGCAAGTAACTCCGTTGTTAGTTGAGTAACTTCACGTTTCTGTTTGGCAAAAAGGGAAATCATTCAGGTTTTGGTGCAATTGGCCAGAACTGTGAGAGGACCGGTCTGGCAGCAACGCACCGGTTCGGTTCATGCCGTGGCTGCTCCTCCTGTGCCTGCAGCAGGGTTAGCAGAGAGCTGCTCTGGGCGTGGGTCTGGGTTTGTCCCACGGCAAGGAGAAAATCTTACAAGTGCTTTATGTTAAGACTGTGTTTGGGGGGTTCATGTTCCATGAGAGTTAGCAAGGGTGATTTAGGTTTTTTTTTTTAAAGAGGATATAAAAACACCTCTGGAAAGTGCAATTATTGTGAGTCCGTCTTGACACAACGAGCATTGATTTAACTGCAAAGGGAACCGAGGGGTAAGACAACAGTAATTCCCTCCGAGGAAGGATTAGTTTTTTCTCCCTCTCGGTCGCCATCGAAGTTGCTAGTTTGTAGGGAGGAGGTGAGAAGTGGGGGCTGCCCTCTCCATCTGTCCAAAATTTCAAGAAGTGGAGAATTAAGCTTTTATTCGTCTTGGTTTGTATCGTGCAAGTTGCGTGACACGTGTGTTGTTTACGCTTAGTTTCGTAAGGTGATGTAGCGGTATCCGTAGCTTTTGTGTCCGTGCTTACGGGTGTGGTTGAGCAATGACTTCATGTCTCTGTGGAGTTGCTTTCTTGATTTAAGTTCCATTTGAATTCGTATGCGTTGTTTCTCAGTTTGAGTCTTCTCCAGAAGACTGATAGTAGTGGAGAAATCTTGCTTTGTTCCTTCCTTGACTCGGGTACAGATATTCACTTTCAGTACAACGGCTTTCTGTTCGGGCTGATGCTTCTTTCTGTGGCCCGCCTGTGTCAGGTAAACTTGAGTGGCTCTTCCGTTTTGTCCCTGTATGTATTTTAGGTGCATTAACTACCTTTAAGCTGCTCGCACTGAAGGTGTTGGGAGCAACTGGAAGTTGAGGGATGCTAAGCTGGATGTCTAATTATTTTTTGAGTTTTGGGCAAAGAGGAAACTCAGCATAACTGGGTAGTGCTCCTGCCCTGCAGTTCCTCCTGAGAAAACTAAATTCTTTGTGGAGCGGTTTCCTGCCTCCTTATCTTCTTCCAAGTCACCAGCCCTTAGAAAACATTCCTCTGAAGCTGTGGGCAGCTGAGGCCTATCTCAGTTTTACAATTATCCAGTGACAGCGTAGCTTCCTCCTTCATACCTGTTGTGTGTAACGGGACTGAGTCTGCAACGTGAAGTAAATACATTTGTTTTTATGTCTGTGACAGTGTTGTGTCACCTTAGAAGTCGAACAGAGCATTATTAAGAGTTTGCACGAGAGAAGAACAAGGAGAAAAGCTTGGCTTTGTTGTTTAGGGATTTTTTCCTTTCCTTTAGAAAAGATACTTGGAGGGCGCACTTCTCTTTGCTGTTCTGCTGCATTTCAAACACATCTACGTGTACGTGGCCCCAGCATACGGCATTTATTTGCTCCGATCCTACTGTTTCACTGCAAATAACGCAGGTAGGGTGGGTTTGTCCTTGCTCACTTCGGGGGATTGCATTCATTAGCGGGGCCTGCAGGAGACGCAAGACATGCAGGTGCCATCAAAATGAAATGGCTGTGGGTCAGGTGGGGAACAGAGTTTGGAAGATCTTTAAAAATACTTTGCAATTCATTTATGTAGAATTCATGTTTCTAGGGAGTTCTTCATTAAGAAAAAACAACATGAGCGAAGCGTGGGTGGCGGGTTGAAACCATAAGAATTATTCTGGTTATAAAATGATTAAGTAACATCAGAAGCTGTTTCAGAGTATTCTGAGTTTCTCTCCACTTCTTAGCTCTGAAAACCACATCTGATACTCCTCACATTAACAGAGAAGGCACCTCTCTTAGAGTCGTAGCGCCTTGACAGAGGAAATACTGAAAGTTTGTGTAATGGAGGAGCTGCAAGGTGGAAAAAGTAAATGTAAAGTAACTGTTAGAGGAAGCAGCTGAACGTATCAGCGTAAAAGGCGATGTGCTGCTCTGCAATTCCCTGTTTGCCGGGAAGGATTTGCCTCCCTCTCCGCCTGCCGCGGTGACTGATTTTGCGACCTGTTTGCTCGGTGACTGATTTTGTGACCTGTTTGCTTCCCCTAGATGGATCCCTGAAGTGGAGGAGTTTCAGCTTGCTGCATGTCACCCTCCTGGGATTGATCGTCTGTCTCGTTTCGGCTCTTTCCTTGGGCCCCTTCATAGTCCTGGTAACAAGCCCCTTTCATCCCCTGTTCTTTCCCTGAACTGTTAGAAAATGGTGTTAGAAAAATATAAACCAGAGGCTTCTTTCTTCTTTTCTGTTCCCTGCAGGGCCAGCTGCCTCAAGTCATTTCGCGGCTTTTTCCTTTCAAGAGAGGCCTGTGCCACGCTTACTGGGCCCCGAACTTCTGGGCTCTGTACAACGCCGTGGATAAAGCGCTGACGGTTTTTGGTACGGTGTGCTCCTCTTGCTCTTAGGTGCCTGTTTGCAGACAGAGCTCTCTGGATTTTGAAACTTTGAAATGCGGGTACTAAATTACATTTTTAGATCGCCTTAAATCATCTGATTGCCTGCCCAGTGCAGGCAATCACGTTTCCAGTGGTAGGACAGAAGTCAGTCTCTGTCGTTAAAAAGAGAAAAAACTAGGCCTTGTACCTAGTTCAGCGTCTTCATTTTCTTTGCTCAAGTTCATCAATTTGTGCTTTTCCTCGTGTTTTGTCTGTAGGTTTAAAATGTAATCTGCTTGATCCCACAAAAATTCCTAAGGCCTCCATGACAGGAGGGCTGGTTCAAGAATTTCAGCACACCGTCCTCCCTTCTGTGACTCCGCTGGCAACATTAATCTGTACTTTCGTTTCTATATTGGTAAGAACAAAGAATATCTTTTGGAAACTTGATGTATTTTGTCCCTAGTAGGTTTGATTGGAACAGCAGGCACTCCATATGAATTTTAATTCTGAGGCAACAAATAAGTTTTCTTTTAAAAACAAAAAAATAATTAAAAAAATCATTAGGATAAATATGAAATTGATACCTTTCTTGATGCACCATGTTACTTTCTTCAAATATGGCTAAACTGATGGCCCCTGTCAGCACTAGAACGGTTACAAGATTGTTAAAAGCAATCTTAGATCAAAACCACTGGTCATGCTGAGCTAGAGGTGACCTTTCGTGGTAGAGGGTAGCTGAGCTGGAATGTGGGGAGAGAAGCTGAGGGAGCTGTCTGGGCCGCTCACAGGGTTTGTAACTGCGTGAGCTGCAGGTGAGCGTGACGTTCCTCATGTGCCAAGCAAAAAATTAAAGGTTCAGTAAGTAATTACCCAAACGCAGGGTCAGAGCAATTGGGAAATCTTTGCTTCAACGCCTTGATGTAGCAGCTTTGGTAAAATCATTTTGGTGGCGCGGATTCGAAGGCACTTCTTGCAGCACAGCTAGCGGGGTTGGCGCTGGGCTTTCGGTCTGCTTTTTCCCTCCCGTTACACTGAAGAAATCCTTCAGGCTCTGCTCGTACACCTGGACAGATACGGTTCCTCCAGGGCCGTGTGATGGTTGTGCCAGGCCAGCACAGCCCGGGCGCAGTGGTGGTTGTTTAACGTGGGAGAAACCTCGTCGTGTAACTGTTCACTGAAGTCCTGTTTTTGCCTGTTGTTTCTAGCCCTCTGTTTTCTGTCTTTGGTTTAAACCTCAAGGGCCCAGAGGCTTTCTGCAGTGCCTCGTGCTTTGTGCGTTGAGCTCCTTCATGTTCGGCTGGCACGTGCATGAAAAAGCCATGCTCCTGGCTATTCTGCCTTTGAGGTAAGTGGGTTTTGTCCGTAGTGGTTGGCCAGACTGAACCTGTAGCTGCTCGTTGAGGCAGCCTCAGAGAGGATCGTTTCGTTTTCGGCGTGTTTCGGAAAACGAGCGTTTTTATAGAATTCCTTAAGCTGTAAAGTTTCGATGCGCTTCGAGTAAATTGCCATCAGGCATGATAAAATGTGGCCGCTTTTGCAGCAAAATGTGCTGGTGCAGGTACAGCGTGTGCAGGGAACCGGTGTGGGGTTAAACAAACGGGATCTGTTACGACGTTCTGACACCAGCTTATGCTTTACAACAGTTGGCATTGACAGAAGCTTTAAGTAGAGCTTTTTGGGGAGTAGCTGATTCCTGTATCAGCTCTGTGGGGCACAACGAAGCTTTGTGCTAACTTAGAGATGACCGGAGCGGGAGTGTGCGGTGTCGGGGTGAACAAGCAGCTCATTTTTGGAGCCTGACACACAGGCCTACGCACCACGTACGCACCTTTGTGCCTCCTTGAACCCCCAGTTGTGTTACAATGCAGAGCATAACAGAAAATCAGTGTGTTTGGATTCAGATGCTTGATTTCTGTTAGAATAGTGCAAAAAAAATACCCCCGTGCTCACAAAGGAAAGTACTTTCTGCTGCACATGGACATGCTGCTCCTTAAAAAAGTCGTTTAGCTTCCCTCTGCAGCCTCCTTTTCTTCGTGATGGCTTGGGAGCAGGCTTGACAAAACGTTTCACTCGTGTGATGGCCCAAAGCTGGCTGCTTTCTTAGGGGCTTTTGCTTCCCCCCCTTTGTGCAGTATGTCCGTTGCACGCAAAAAAGTCCGAGACCTGTTTGTTGGGCATCTTGTAGCTTTGCCTTTGAGGAGAAAAGCTGAAAAGCTGCGTGGCTTGCCGAGCGTGAAGCGTTTGACACAGCTGCCAGGCAGGAGTTCGGCAAATGGGTGTAGTCAACAAAGTGCTTTTTGTCTCTGAATAGCTGAGAGATCTACTCTGGCAGGGACAGATTTTAAAATAGTGTAGTTTTTTAGCTGCTGACTGAGCCAAAAGGGATACTCTGCACCGTGCGTGGTGAGAATGGTGCGTGGTTTCTACCGAGGGGGCTGTACACCTGTTTAGGGGAGAGGCGAGGCTGTAGTTCATAAGCTGCCTGAGCAGAATTGCTACAAACTGTGTTTCCTTCGTTCAGGAGTTTAGTGATGTTTAAACTTTTGGGAGTTGTGGGACGGAGAGAATTAGCATGGGACAAAGAAAAGGAAGGAGGGGAGGCGAGGTGGCAGAGTTGGGAGCCAGCTGGTGAAGGAAAAGGACTTTTTGTAGACTTCAGGCCTTTCTGCTGCTTGTGTTCCGTGGGGATGTGGTTTTCTGGGGAGAGGGTTTCCTGGCTGATCCCTCTCCTGCATTTTTGTCTCTGAGGCCACGTGATTTGGAAGCAGGAGGCTTCCTCACAGCTCTGGTGTCTGGAGGGACGGGGGCAGCGTGAAACTTCTCAGCCTTTTCTTCGGTCTCTCGTGAACTACGTAGTGTTCTGCTGAAGTTAAGTTTCTCCACTAGAAGACAAAAGCGTAACTGGTTGCTGTCATTTCTAGCTTGTTGTCTGTTCAGAGAGCGAAGGATGCTGGCATCTACTTGATTCTGACAACCACAGGACATTTCTCACTTTTCCCACTGTTGTTCACGCCACCAGGTAAAGCATTTTCCGGCTTTTTGTTCTTCCTTCTTACTGCTTTGGGGTGGGTTTTGTTCTCCGGAGATGGCGTGCAGGTTCATGGTTTGGGGTTATTTTACTTAAGAAGTTGGAAGTTGCAGGAGGCTGTATGTCAGCCTGTTCCCATAAATACAAAACTCTCCAACTAGTGCAAAGAAATGTTAGTTTAAAAAAGCTGTGGAAGAGCCGCAGCCTTTAAATTAAAATAGAGGCGGAAAACCATCAGTCAGTATTTCTTATCCCTCATCCCGCTGCAGCTCCAGAAACTTCTCCCTATTTAACATAACCTTGGGAAGCTACTGCCTTGAGAAATGAGAAACCTTCTCTGGTTTTTCTGTTATTTATTTTTAATCTACCGTGCAGCTGAGAACAGGAGAGCGTTGGTTTGGCCATCACTTGTGCTTTTAAGTTTCTTGGTGATTTCTGATTTCTTTTGAATAGGAAAATCTTTTTGCTATCGTAAATGGCAATTACAGTTAGTGGATTCAGTATGTTCCTAGATAATCCAAGTAAATGTATTGCAAATACTGGACATTTGCTTTAGAAAACATCTATATTTATTCTTAGGTGTCCTAAGCAGTAAAGCATTTGTTTTTCTTTGGAGAAAGCGATTAAGTTGGACAACACAAGCGTGACTAGTAGGGTTTAAAGATACCACAATCGTGAAAGGTTGTTATAATTAATTTAAAAAATATATTATGTTCCTTGCATTTCAGAACTGCCGATTAAAATCCTGCTCATGCTGCTGTTCACTGTTTATAGCTTCTCTTCGCTGAAATCTCTATTCAGGTAATTAAAAAACTTCCCAACACCGAGGACAAAACCGTTCCTTCTGCCACGGGGCGCGGTGTTGCCGTAAGGCACAAACGGCGCAGCGAGCCAAGCCCAAGGTAGCAAACGAAAGCGTTGCTGGTCGAGAGATGCTGCTGCCTCTTTTTTTCTTTCTTTCTTTTCCTAAAGTTAGGGTTGTTATAGAACATACTTGTTACGTTTGAATTTACAACATGTAATTTGTGAACAAACTACTTGACTGTCAGAACATAGAGTTGCCCAAATCATCCTGTGGATGTTTAGAGGCCGGTGGTTTCTTACCCACACGATCAAAGACAGCACTGACCCATACAGCCCCTGTAGTCTCCGCTTTCCTGTCGCCCAAACTTCTCATGGCAAAACCAAGCTGTAGCAAAGGATGTCAGGAATGCTCTAAACCTCTATTCACTGCACCTTTTCATAGGTGATCCTCTCACCCAGACTGCTTGTTTCCCTTCAGTATTCCAGAATTTGATCATTCTGTCTCAAGAACTGAAGAGAGACTTTCTGTCTCTAACTCAAATCCTCTGATGGAGCTTAGTTTCTATCTAGAGATGGAGCTTTTGAAACTTCCCTGTTCCTAACTTTCCAAAACAAATTCCTTCCAGAAGAAAATGAATCCCCCTGGAAACTAGAATCATAGAATCATGGTTGGAAGGGACCTTAAAGCTCATCTCATTCCAACTCCCTGCCCTGGGCAGGGCCCCCTCCCACCAGCCCAGGTGGCTCCAAGCCCCGTCCAGCCTGGCCTTGGGCACTGCCAGGGTGCGAGCTGCCTTGGGCACTGCCAGGGAGGGGCTGCCACAGCTGCTCTGGGTGACCTGGGCCAGGGCCTCACCACCCGCACAGGGAAGAATTTCTTCCTAAATCTCATCTAAATCTCCCCTCTTACAGTTTGAAACCATTACATATATATATAATATACACATATATATAGTTATCGGATAAATATAAGACCTGAGTAATGTACTAAATATTGAACATACACTAAAGTTTGC